CCATGAGCTAAAACATTAAAACAATGAGCTAAAGCATTAAAACCATGTGCTAAAACATTAAAACAATGAGCTAAAGCATTAAAACCATGAGCTAAAGCATTAAAACCATGAGCTAAAACATTAAAACCATGAGCTAAAACATTAAAACAATGAGCTAAAGCATTAAAACCATGAGCTAAAACAAGATCTAATGTGTGGCCACATTCTTGTGTTGGACCAGACACAAACTAAACCAAATTAAAATAATCGATCAGCTGTAAAAAAAATCTTTGACCAACAGTTTATCAGTACAACACACGTGGATATTAAAGTCTCCAACTATTAAGATCCCGTCATATTTAGGCAGGACTCCTGTCAAAACATCTGCAAAGTCCATCAGAAAGTCCTTGTTGTATTTTGGAGGTCTGTATAAAACAGAACACAGCACCGGGTGTGAAGATCCGAGCTGAAATAAGTTGAGCTCAAAGCTGGAATAAAATGTTAAAGGTGTGATTTATTTACAGAGAATGCTCTTGTAGGAGTTCAGCTTTTCCCCCACAGCTCCAGATCTCCTGACGGTGCCAAGCAGCCACACCTGGAGATCATCTGATGAGAGGCGGCTGAACAAAGGAGGTGGCTCCAGTTCAACAGTGTTGGTAGAAAGCTCCTGGACAGTTAACTTTGTTCTTCAGTGCTACAAACATTAATCCTGATTCTCACATGTTACAGTTTCACCTCTGTGGACCTGTATAATAATAATAATGATGACAATAATATAATAATAACAGTAATAATAATAAAAAGTGAGTGTGTATCAGCTGATAATGTGCAGGTCTGCTTCACGTCAGCTGTTAAAGTTTGACAGAGTCCAACCTTTTTCTGGTTTCTGGTTCTGAACTGCAGTTCCTTTTAGAGACGTGACCACAGCGGGTCGGTGGTTTGAGCCCGAGATGCTCTCAGCTCATGGTTTTAGCAGAGACAGAAATATTTCTGAACGTTGTGACAAAAGAACTCCACTCAGAGTGTTTGATGGTTAAAAGAGGAGCTGAACGTTCAGCACAAGAGGCAAAGTCTGCAGAAACACTGACCTTCACCCACCACATGCCCCGCCCACATCCGCATCTGATGCCCCGCCCACATCTTGTCACAAGAGTAGGATTTTCCAGCTTTCTCTGAGAACAGACTGAATGTTCTTTCTCCTCAGACATCTGTTTGTCCCCAAAATCAGCTGAAACCTGGACTCCTATGTCCACCAAACTCGTGTCCTTTGTCTTTCTGTCCCTCTGAGACGAACCCGTGGCCACAGAACTCAGCTGTGTTCCTCCTCTGGTGAGCCAGTTTCAGGTCTGGTTTCTGAGACAATGGTGGTGGTTCTTAAAGGTTCTCCTGAGTCCATGTAGAGATCCTGATGGGTCAAAGGTCATCCAGCTGAAGGTTTTCCTCTGAACACAATGACAGGCTGAAGTTTTAACTAAATCTTTTTGGACGGATGGTTCTGGTCTAAGGAAGAAATAATTATTTTGGTCCAGTCCTGAGACGTCACTAACCTGCTGGGCTGATTCAGGAAACGTCTCAGATGTTTGTTTATAGTTCGGTGAATATTATAAACCAAAGAACGTTGATCATCAAAAACACTGAAAACCAAATGAAAGAGTTTCTTTCGTCATTAAAACTAAAACCTTCAGTTCAGTCTGTAAATATTTTTTGAACATGTACAGAGAACCAATAACAGATCCCTGTGGAACTCCAAGACTTAGATCCATTTGGAGGAACTGACAGGTTCTGTGTGGACTCTTTCTTCAGATCCAGATGTTTTGAAGAGGAAACGGGTCGTGGCGCCCGGCCCGGGACAAACAGCCGGCACGTTTTGCATATTTTACCCAAACCAAGCGCACGACTCGGCCTGCGGTCGTCTGCGCCTCGTTTGAATAAGCTGCACAGAAACACTCCCAACTTTCCAGGAAAATAAAAACTCACACAGACAGGAACAAACTCCAAAGATCTGCAATGCAAACTAACCTCCACTAAACACCAGAACTGGTTCTGGTCGGGATCTGAGATGACCCGTTTCACTCCAGTCGTTGTGTGCAGAAAATTGGAGACGAGTTTTAAAGCTGAAATCAAACCAAAGACCCTGCAGACTCACGCTGTACTCCTGATCCACGCTTTCAGGACTCATCTTCCTCAGGGAGGACAGCAGGTCCATGTTGAGTCCAGAACCACCAGCACCGTACTGAAACCCAAAGCTGAGTTAGTTCTCCCTTTCCCTTCAGTCTCAGTTCTGCCTCCAGACTGAAGCGTGTCTGTTAATAATTCAGCCGCTTGAAGCAGGAAGTGAGGAGAAGGTGTTCATCAATAAACAGGCGAGGACCGGTGACACCGCTCTCCTGAGGGCAGGTCCTTCCTCACAGAACCACAGAACCTACAGGTTAGAACCTCAGAGGACCTCCTTTCCCCTGAACTCTTTCACAGCGCAGGGTTCAGACCTGAATCCTTTGATCAGTCACAAAAACAGAAGCAACGAGTCGATAAGGAGTGGACTATAAACCAGTTCACCTGCTGGGTCAGTCCCAACTCGTACTCTTTGTTGGTTTTAAGAGACGGAACAAAAACTCTCAGGAAACAAACAAGAAGTCCAAGATTCAAAATGAACCAACAAACAAAGAGGCAGCAGGAAAACAGCGGAGCGTCAAATATAAAAACTGGAATCAGACACACAAACTCTGCAGAAACTTTTCTTTTTAAATTTATTTACAGAAACTTTGGTTCAACTTTAAAAAAACAAATCGAAACTGATGGTTAAAACTTATTTATAGGCTTACATGAAAAATACTTCAAAAACATTTATAGTCTTCTTTTGGGGAAAGATAAAAATGAGTACACAGTAGTCCCTCGCTTCCTCGCGCTTTATTTATCGCGGACTCGCTCTATCACGGTTTTTCAAAATAAGAGTGACATGACACACAACTGGCTGATTGATGGAAGAGCTCAGGGCCCCCAAGTCTCCATGGGGCCCTAAGTGAAATCTGGTTTGGGGCCCTCTGTTCCTGATAATACTGTGGATCACTGCAATCACAGTCAGATCATTCACCCACCTAACATAAACTATTTATTATAGTTTTGATAAAACGACCTATTAACAAAATGGTCAAATATAACGTTCTCTGCATTCGATGACTTCTTCTAAAAATTAAATATGCCATGTTTGAGTCATTTGGCATTATAAACATAAAAACTGATTTGATTTGACTGATAAAGTGATATTGAAGGACACAACTGTTTTCTTGAAGTTCAGTCTCTGTGGCCCTCTAGATTACATGCGTGTCAAACTCAAGGCCCGGGGGCCAAATGTGGCCCTCGTTGACATCTTATCTGGTCCCCCAAGATGTTATTTTAAATTAAAAAAAGCTTTTATCATTTTAATTTTCTCAGTAATGTTTGTTTATGATGTCAAAAGTACAACAGAGAACACGAACTGAGACCAGTCAGCCTCTTGTTGAGGAACCTGCAGCATGAACAGATGCTGGTGTCTGACTTCAGTTAATGTTGATTCTGAAACACGCCCTTACTTTGAAGAAGGTTTTAATTTTGCCCCCTTTTGTAAGTGGGTTTGACACCCCTGCTCTAGGGTGTGGAGAGCCACAGAACTGGTCATGGTGGGCTGGATTTGGCCCACGGGACACATGTGATCTAGTGGTACTAAAAGTAACAAAAGTATAAAACAACAGCCAAAATATGTGTGCAGTTCAGCTAACAGTCTTTAGAATGGACACATGTTGTCTTTGTCAAACCTGCTGAAGAGAATCAAACTAAAAGCTCTGAAACTCAAAGAACTTACTCCATGAAGTTACAACTAACACTCAACTTTACAACATCTGTCCCTGAATGGGGTGAAAGGACAATTAGATATTCTTCCTCAGACAAAATCAGCTAATGTCTCCTTTTCAGAATGGTCAGGGTAAAATATGTTACAAAATAATACAGTTAGAATTATTTCTGTAGGAATTATGGTCAGTTCCATAACTTTCAAACATACGGGTGGAGAAGGTTCAGCCCCTGGCTCGAAAAACACCTGGTGTTTTTTCAAGTGTGTCGTACACCGAGAGTGTCCCGTAGATGTTTCGGATATTTTAGGTTGAGTATATGAGCCTGAAGAACAAACAGCTGTTCATTCAGGACCTGTGCTCCATCCATGATTATCTTCATGTGTTTGGGTGGATGGAGAGGATCCTCTCTCCCAGGGACAAAGATCTCCATGGTTTCCAGATGCAGCTGGTCATTCTCCTGCATATCCTGCAAACACACCAAAAATAAAGAAATGAGGACAAGAAAAAGAGTAAACGAGTGCAGAGCACTGCCAAAGCACAACAGTCTGAACAGTGTCTTTACTTTCTGAAACACCGGACAAGTTACCGGCGACATTACAACAAGAAGAGTTCTCAGTTCAAATGAATGCATGTGCTACAATAAAGATCAAAGAATCATCACAAATATATTTGTTTGTCCCACTCTGGCATGATGTTACTTCAGTTTGAGCCCAAATTCAATAGACAAAAATAAGAGAAGTCTGTAGCAAGGAGAAGATAAAATATCCAGTGCAATGCTGCATTTCAAACACAAAGCTGTGTGGATGTTGCTCGTGTTACTGCATCATATCTTCTTACTGGTGTTCTTTAAAAAGATGCTCAACAGGTTCACACCAGTAGATGATCAGAACTTTAAGGACAGCCTCTCTCTTGATGGTGACGTCAACAGTCTGAATAAGAACAATTACTTTTAAATAAAATCTAACTCACACATACACAAAACAACTATTCAGCTATAAATCCCACTGAGTCTTCTCAGATACCTCATCTAAAACTTGTAAGATCCTGGTGGTCTGCTCAGAGTGAGACATCTGTATTTTATGCCCATCTTCACGGCGCTCCTCTCAGTTGTGTTTTCAGAAATAGAGTCAGAGTGAGACATCTGTAATTTATGCCCATCTTCACGGCGCTCCTCTCTGTTGTGTTTTCAGAAACCGAGTCAGAGTGAGACATCTGTAATTTATGTCCATCTTCACGGCGCTCCTCTCTGTTGTGTTTTCAGAAACAGAGTCAGAGTGAGACATCTGTGTTTTACTCCACTCTCCGCCCTGCTGGATCGGTTCTCCTGTGTTAGCGTAGCCGGGGGCTGGTAGCTGCTGCCCGGGTAAACATGGCCATGTCTCAGGCTCTGTCCGAGGAGGAGTTCCACCGGATGCAGGTGAGTTAAACCGGCTGTGTGTTCTGTTGGTCCGGTTCAGCTGCGGCATCGTTGGCGGAGAGGTTCGCGGCTCCGGGACGTGTGAGCAGTGTAACGGTGTTCCGGTGTCGGTTCTGCTGGTTGTGCAGTTGTTCTGAAGCGGTCTTTGGGACGGTTCAGGCCCAGATCTCTGAGAGATGAAGGGAGGAGTTGTTGGACTCCTCATGCTAACCGTTAGCCGGGCCGGAGTCAGACTAACGGTTAGCATGTTAGCATGCACGCGACGCTGATGAGAGTCACGGGGTCTGAGTGGGCGGATGGCCGAGTTTGTGTTCACCTGAGGCGGTCAGAGGAGGAGGAGGACCGCGGTCACTGCTGGAGTTCACTGACGCCACGTTCTGTTCAGACACATCAGCTGATTTCAGATGAACACCTGGACAGGTATCCAGTCCCTCACAGGGACACCTGGAGAAAACCCAGAGAGACAAACCTGTGACCTTTTTGCGGTGAGGCAACAGGTGTAACCACTGCCCCATCTCGGAGTGTTGTCTAAAAATAAAAATAAGTTTATTTCCAGAGTAAAGAGCAGAAAGGAAACTGCAGCAGTTATGCCTCTGTGTGGTTGTCATGTTTACAGGTGTTATTATGGTCTGTCGTCAGGTAAAATTTGAAGCTCTCGACCTTTGACCTCTCTAAGTGACTTTAAGAATCTGTTGGACTCCTGGCAGGGACCAATGCAGACATGTTCCTGTTTTTAGTTTCTACATTCACCTTAGAATCTAGCTGTTTTTTTGTTACCTTTTATTCTTTTAGCCATCCTATTTGTAAAAAAAACAAACAAAACAAACTGCAGTATGACTTTTTATAACTGTTTATTGTTGTTGCTGTTGTCCATTGTTGTCATCATTCTTTGTTAATTCAGGTCTCTCTTGTAAATGAGTCCTCGAGGCTCAATGGGATTTACCTGTAGAAATAAAGGTTGAATAAAAAACAATAGTTAATGTGAGGTTAATCTGGGGCAGTGCGTCCCCTACCATTGTCCAAGGAGTGCGTCCCGCCCTGTCAACAGGACCAAGCGCCCCGTCGACAAAACGAAAGTTACAGCTGTAACTATGGTTCTATGAATCCTGGATGACCGCCAGAGGCGGTGCTTAAAGCACTGAATGATCATTCTTGCGCATGCGCAGGTCGAGAATTTATGCAAACATAGTCACGCGTGACACCTGGGACACCGGTGAGTCTACATAAGCACATGACAACGGTAGCCCAGTCCCTTAATCTTCTCGCGAAACGCAATGATTCCGCAGGCCCGAGCGCTCTGGCGGTCATCCAGGATTCATAGAATCGTACTTACAGCTGTAACTTTCGTTCTATTTCATCCCTACTGACCGCCAGAGGCGGTGCTTATAGCACTGGATGATGATTGACAACAGAGTCCTGAGGAATCACACCCACAAGAAGAAACAAAAGTTAAGTGTGCCCACCTTACTGAGACGGAGATGGGTGCTGCGATAGGATCCCTTCCAACGGGTGAAAAGCAGCCAGGTTTACCCTGTAGAACCTGGCAAATGTATTTGGGGATGACCAGGAGGCTGCTGCACATATCGCCTCCAGAGTGACCCCATTTATAGCGGCCCATGACACGCTAACGCTCCTGGTGGAATGGCATTGTACCCCTACAGGTGGCTGGCGGCCCTGCAGAGTGTACGCCTGTTCCACCACGTCCACAATCCAGCGCACAAGGCGCTGCTTTGAAAGGGCCTGCTTTGAAAGGGCCTGCCCTTTGCGAGGTCCTGTATAGCAAATGAACATATTATCAGATGGCCGCAGAGAAGTTGTCCATCTGATGTATGCTTCCAGTGCCCGACCAGGACAGAGAGGCTCGTCAGCACCATCTGCATCGAAGCGAGCAAGCTGGAGAGGCAGAGAGTGGGTCACAGATGGGGCCACCTTAGGGAGGAACGTTACGTTAGGCCAGAGTGTAACACCCGAACCAGCCGGGTTCTAACGGCAACAGTGCTTGTAAACTGATATTGCATGTAGTTCACCTACTCGTTTGGCCAAAGCCATGGCCAGGAGAAACGTGGTCTTCGTAGACAAGCACTCAAGGCTCACGTCCGTCAAGGGCTCAAACGGAGCAGACCGCAGGGCAGCAAGGACCAGAGAGAGATCCCACACAGGCACGACGAGGCGTGTGGGGGGATACAGATGTCTGGCGCCTCTCAGAAACAAGGACACATCCTTGTTACGACCTACTGTCTCCCCACCCACCACCGTATGCCAGCAAGAGATTGCAGCAACATAAACTTTCAGGGTGGATGGAGACCGGCCCTGAGAAAGTAGCGCCTGAAGGAAAGTAAGAATAACAGAAAAAGGACAGTGTACAGGGTCCTTGTGTCTGGCATGACACCAGTTGCTGAAGACCTTTCACTTATGTGTGTACAACAGTCGTGTGGAAGGGGCCCTGGCGTTATTCATTGTATGTG